TATATATATATATATATATATATATATATATATATATATATATATATTCGACAAAAAGCTTCAAATGTAATCATAAAGTTTTTAGTAAACAAAAGATCAGTTTTTGCTAATGCCTGAGAATGGTTCTAATGAACGATAAAAATTCTTAGACTAAAAACTAACGAATTAACGGCGAAAAAGTAATAAGCCGTCAGAAATTTTAAAGATGCTCTTTTATCTAAAATATTATCTTATTTACAAACTTTTAATAAGTCGTGCCTTTTAATATAATCTCCATAGATTTTATTCTAACGTGGAAAACACAAATTATTTTTAAATCATTGATAACCACGCGATACAGGGTGATCTATTATTAAAGAAACAAGACTGCTACTGGTACGCATAATGTCAAGTTTTCTTAACACTTTTAAGAGATTTAACCACTCGCGAGGCAATGATTACATCGTGCCCTATGTAGCAAAATATTTTTATTTATGTTCATACAGAAAGTGCCTCCTATTCTTTCACTTTTATTGATAATAGAATCTATATATGTAATTTACAAATACATTCAAGTAATATATAAAAACGATTCGATCAATAGTAAACGTACATATGTAAGTACACTAATTAGCTTAAAATCAAGTACGCTTCATTTGAAATATCAATAATTTATATTGCTTTAGCTCTTTTCCTATTACATATATCCTTGTTAAAACATACCTTGTAATACAAAATTGATATATTAGATATATTAAAAACAATAAATTGTTCTTTATTATGTTAATAACATTGTATTATTTCATATATAAAATTAAATATATAAATTATGCTTTAAATTATATTAAAAGATTAAACAGTAAAGATTTCTTTTCAATTCTTATAATTTATTTTATATTTATTACATATACTTCTTATACAAATTGACTAATAGAAATAAAAAAATATATTTATATTGATAATTATAACAATTTTCACCACTTTCTTATTGTTACTGCTAATATTATGAACTCTTGTGCTTTGCTCGTTGACTTAAAGCTTGATACAATCCAATCAACGAAGACAAAGTTCCAAGTGCTCCAACATGCCAAGTTTTTAACTTACCTCCCCAAAATATACCAGATGGCAAATAACTAACTGCATAACACATATCTAATATTAATCTTATACATGTTAATGATTCATTCCACCTTAGTTTGGTTATTGATTTCAAAACAACTCTAAAGAAAATTATTAATATTTTAACATTTTATTAACCAAATTAGTATAAATATTTCGCTGTATATTTTATTTTTAAATTTACCTTTTGCTGCAATTAGTTTCATTAAGATATGTCTTATAACTGTTGAATTTTTGTAGTTTTCGTAAAGACCTAGAAAACGTATACATGTAATGAAGGTGTTTAAATATAATATTTATATTTCCCATGTAACATACTTTAATAAAGACAACTGCAGAGAAATTATCCAAAACCATGTTAAAGCATTATCCCATGCTTCAATATTGATTTTAATCAATTTATGTTTGCCAGCCCAAAAAATGTGTTCTATTGGACCAAATATAATATCCACCAAAATTTGCATTAACTCTGCACATTTGATCAACCAATCTGACTCCTATTGGATGATATATGAAATTTATCATATGCCTGTAGAAGAATAATATACATCTGTACATTACATTAATATAGTGAAAGTGAAACACATTTTGCAGAAAATATTTTCATTTATATTATCAGTATACTTTATTTCATGAAATGAAATGAAATAAAGTATATGTATATATACACCTCTTTTCCCCACCCATATGTCATTGCATAATGAATCGTTGGTATGTCATCTAATAATCTTAGAATCATTCTGCATTCGCTGATTTGGCTACTAAATATTTTTAATTTTTTTTCTGTTTCATTTGAGAATATTCCCAATGTCGCAAACTTAGTTGCATAAGACAATGTTTTCAAAAATTTATCTCTTCCTTGATGTGTTTCCAAATATTCTGATATTAATGCAGTACTCATTTTCAAACAAATATGTTTGAAAATATGAATCTAATTGTGAGACTGAAATGAAAAAAAGTTTGGAATGTTTAATCGTTATGCAATTAATAATGTTCAATAATGATTTTTTATAAAGCTAATTATTAAACAATTTAAATAACGTGCAATTTGTAAGATTAAGTGTAGAAAAATGACAACTCACCGAATGCAATTTTTGTTATATATATATATATGTATATCTCACACTTATTGTCAATGAATTACATGAATGTTACGAAAGAATATGTAAAATTGATTACTAAGCTATGAAAATAATTTATTTCTCTATGCATTTGATACAAAATCTGCAAATTATTTATACACATTTAAATTTTATTATTTTTTTCAATTTAAATTAAAAATAATTTAATGTATACGCAGATTTGAAATACGATTTATTTTTCTTTATTTGTCAATGCACCCTTGTGTCTGTATCGTGAAAACTAAACTGAAGAAATAGTCGATAAAAGAGAACTCGTGTTATCTATCGTATAAAAATTGAAAAATTAACATATAAAACCTAATTACATAATATACGTGTTGTAATTTTTTCAAGAATACAATTTCGATCATTTACAAAAATCCAGTATTCTATATTGCAAAATTAATTGTATTAATAAAAATTAATATAATTAGTAGCATAAATGGAACGCATTATGTTGCACTACCAATGGCACTACATTATATTATCTACATTAAACCAAGTTTATAAAAGCTGCAAAAGTGATATCTTTCGTAACAATTAATCCCTATTTGAATAGAAAATGCTCGTAATTTTCGTACGTACAATTATTTTTATTTCATTATTACACGCTTTTCTTAATTGTAAGTAATTTTATATTTATGCTCCGTTCAAATGAGTTAAGTGAAACAGATACATCTGATCACGTGATACATCAACTATTGCCTGGTAATTACTAGTGACTTATAATTTTCAAGAATTACTTTTTTATTGTTGCAATTGGTTAACCATAATACATTTAATTAAATAACAATGCTTTTACTTAATCGCTGAATGTATCTAAGTTTTCGACATAAAAAAATCAATGCTCGAAAAATAGTTTTTTATCTCATAATTGTACGATGAATTTTCAACAACTTCCCCTAGATTTTGACCACGTGGTTTTATTTACCTTCTTCATTCGATTTGTTGACTCGATTAAAACACTCAGTTATAACTAAGTAAATATTCTATTTAAGATTTCCCATCTATACACGCAGCAAGTTCGTGGTGGCTGGTGAATAGTGGGGGAACTGTCTTTTCAAAGCGTCGTATTCGTTCATTGTTGTGTGTCGCTTTAGAGCAACGTGATCAGTGGTTCGTAGACGTGATGACGTCAGACTTCGAGGCACAAGCCGAGAGCGCGTTTAAAGCCGAGTAGGGCGTGAAAGTGTGTGTCGGTGCCGCTCGTTTTCCTCCTAATTTCTTTTAATCCGATTCCGTTCAACAAATATGTGCAAATAGCATCTTGTGTCGTCGTGGACAACGGGGACAATTATGTTCGGTGCTGTTCTAACGTGATTAATAGTGAAAAAAAGGATACCATGTTCCGCTGCATTCCGATTTTTAAAGGGTGTAACAGGCAGGTGGAATACATTGACAAGCGTCATTGCTCTCTGCCGTGCGTCCCCGATGATATTTTACGATACTCGAGAAGCTTGGAGGAACTCCTGCTAGACGCGAATCACATTCGTGATTTACCGAAGGTAGACAAATACCGCTACATGCCAACTTCTGTCTTATAACCCGTATCTCTTTTTCTTTCTTTGCGTCCCCCCTCTCTCACTCATTCTATCTCTTTCTCCTTCTTTCTATCCCTCTCTTTCTCTCTTCCTCTTGCTATTGTGCCTGTGACGTATCATTCCATCGGCTATAATGTAACGACGAAGAACGCGCACGACATAGCCGATGTAGCCGATTTTATTGTCATCGTTATTTTCTTATCAAACGTAATCGCTCATCATTGGCGTCTTCTTTCGTTGCAGAATTTTTTTCGGCTACAGAAGTTACGGAAACTCGGTTTGAGCGACAATGAAATTCACCGCTTGCCACCAGATATCCAAAACTTCGAAAACCTCGTGGAGCTGGATGTATCCAGGAACGGTGAGTGATCATTTCTTTTCTTTTTTTCTTTTCTGTTTCGTTTTTTTTTTTCTTTAAGTCTTTTTTCCTTCTCTTTAAGTTTCTTTTTCCTCGAGTCATTTTGTGGTCTTGTGGTTGGCGTCCACAACGCCTCAGATAGGAGAGATCCGATCCCCGGTTTCTTTTCAATGTTTCGTTAGTATTTTCCTGAATTCCTCTGTTTTTCTCTTCGTCTTTTCGGTTATCTTTCTTCGCGTGCAAAGCACCGCCTGTCCGCGGTCTCCAACGAAGCACGTGTACGTGGTGCAAACACGATTGTCAATGAGAAAGTCAGGATCGGACACGTAATAATGCGTGTACAAAAGGCGCGAGTGAAGGAAAGTATAAATCGTGAATCGATGCTTGCATCAACTATTAACCATCAAATACAATTCACGCGTGGCACCGTGATTATTGACATTATTTTTGATTCATGGGTAGAATTTAATTTAATTTTACGTAAAAAATGTAATTATCATCTGTTATTGTATTTTCATTGCATTTGTAAAATAGCACCTTGTGGATAGGTTATCATTATCATTGTATCTTTTTTCATTCAGTATCGGCTGAAGTGACTGATATATCGAGCATCATGATTTACATGTGTCATTGTGA